TGCAACCAAACACTCTAAAAACAAAAAACCCCTGCCCCCATCCCCAAAGCCCCCACCCACAAAATTAAAAAAACTTTAACCCCCCCCACCAACAAACCCTAAATTCCTTACGGTCCCCCCATTTTCCCCCCCCCCCAAAATACTTCCCCAGACTACAGTCTTTTGAAAAGGAAATTGAAGGTGTGGTATACAAATGCAGATGGAATAAAAACCCAAATATGGGGGGAAATGGCACGAAAAAAAAAAGAACATTCCCCCGACCTAATAGCACTCACGAAAAAAAAACTCACCAAATAATAAAAAGATTCCAAACTTTCCATCCCGGGTACCCAAAACTTCCGGAAAAAACAGGGGGAGAGGGGGAGGAGGATTGCACTGTCATTAAAAACCGTGGGGTTTTTAGGGAAAAAAGGGAAAGGAAAGGAGGGGATGGGCCCAAAGGGGGGCTACTTTTAGGAACAACCAGCTGAGGGGCATAAGGTGAAAAAATTGGGAGTAATGTAAAACCCCCCACAGAACTGCAGGGGGCCAAGAAAAAGAAAACGATGAGAGCAACGAGCAATGACAACACACTAGCCGGGTGGCCAGGAGAGCACACCCTGGGGGGGGCAAAGTTACTAGTTTATGGGTGATTTCAATCCAAAGGGGGTTGGGCTTGGGGAAAAACCCGGAGCCCCAGGGGGTCCCGAAACATGGAGGGCCCAAAAATGGATGTGGTACTGGGAACCTCATGCTAACTGTTTTTGACACTACCAGAGAGAGAGGAGAGGATGAACCAGCAAGGGTTTGGGCCTTGTATTCACCAGGGTAGTTTTGGACACGAGGGTATTCATGTTTTGAAAGGCCCCTGGGGGCAGTGACATTTTGGGGTTTTTTTCGACTACATAGTTGAGCTCCAAGTGGAGGGGAAATAGCCGGAAAAGGCTGGGAAAAAAACCCAAATACAAAAAGGGGGGGAAATTTTCCAGGCATGAGGAACCCTTTCCCTTTAAGACATTAAAGGGGGGGGGGAACTTACCGGAAAACCAGTACAAGAAATGATGGGCTATGTAAGGCCCCAAAAAGCAAGGAGGGAGAGGAGAGGTTTGTTTTCCCAAAAGGGAACAAAAAAGGGGGAAAAACAGAACGAGTCCCTTTTTTCACCCAAAGGTGTGGGGGCAAAAACTAGGTGTAATAAAAAATGGAAAAAGGGACGAAACAGAGAAATCCCGGAAAATAAAGAAATCAGCCGAAACCAGAAAAGAAAATGCACAGATTTAAAAGGGGGCTCAAGACAATATGAAAATGACATTTCATCAAAAATAAAATGACCCGAAGGGTGTTGTACGCCACATTTAGGGGGAAAACAAAAATTTAAGGACCAGGGAATCAGAGAGGAAGGGGGAAAGGGGGAGGGGGAATTTTACAAAAAAACGACCGAGAGGTATGTCAAGCCCCCACAAGATTTTTAAAAAGGGAAACGTGGGAAAACCCTAAAGGGTCCAAGAAATTTAGAACAGGGGGGGAAAACCCCCAAGTGCTTGGGTGAGGTTTCTTTTAACCAAGGAGGAGGTTTAAGAAGCTGCTATGCGAACTTTACACCTCAAAGGCGGTGGGACCAACAACATCTCTCCATGGGTCCTTAAAGAGGGGGGCAAAAGATTGTTTGAGCCATTAACAAAGAAACTTCAAACATCATTTGAAAGGGGGAACTCCCCGAGGGATGGAAAATGGCAAATGTAGTCCAAAAATTTTTTAAAAAGGGACAGACATGAGGCAAATTTAAAATACAGACCTGTATTTTCAAAAGTGTATAGTATGCAAGGTCATGGGGAAGTTTATCAGGAGGAGTGGGTGGGGCACCCCGGGAAAGAAACAATGTATAATTTGACAACCAGCACGGTTTTAGGGAAAGGGGAAAAACCTGTGTCACAAACCAAATAGAGTTTTTTTTGACAAGGGGGGACAGAAGTAAGACAAGAGAGAGGGGGGGTCGACCGTATTTTTGGACTGCAAGAAGGCTTTTTGACACAGTTCCTCACAAGAGGTTACTGCAAAAAAACTGGGACCAGGGACACATTTAAAAGGAAAAAGGGAAATGCCCAAAGGGGCAGAGAATATCTGAAAGGGAGGAAACAACGAGTCATGGTAAAAGCGACGAGGTGCCCGAGTGGGCGCCCGTGACAACGGGGTTCCACCGGGGTCCCGTCCAGGAACCCGTGCGTTTTTGGGAAAACGTAACGACAAAAACGGGAAGGGATAGACTCAGAATGTCCTTGTTTGCAGACGATGTGAAGTTAATGAGAAGAATTTGAATCGGACGAGGGTCAGGCAGGAAATTTCAAAAAATCCCCGGGCGGCTACAACCCTTTTTTCCAGCAACTGGCTCCTAGAATTTAACCCTGCCCAAATGCAAAAATCATGAAGATTGGGGGAAAGGGGAAAGAAAACCCCAGACACAATAAGTTTTTTTATGGCCAAAAACTGCAAACCTCACTAAAGGGAAAAAAAAATTGGGGGGGAGTTTTAAAAAACCCCAGCATATTCCGAGGGGCAATCAATCAGTTTTCTGCTTTCAGCATACGGGCGCCCCGGCAAAACCCACGGGTACGTTCCATACCTCCCGTAAAGGGTTGTTTTTAAGGAAATCTGTAAAACCATCTACGTCGGCCCATTTCTGGGTAAGCAGCACCTTTGGAATCCAACCTAGGGCAAGCACGTCAAAAAAATTTGAGAAAGTTTCAAAGGTTTGCAACAAGAATAGTCCCCAAAGCTACGGGGTTGGCCTATGAAAAAGGTTGGGGAAATCCCGGCCCCACGACACGGGGGCCAGGAGGGTCCCGGGGGGGAAAATGATAACGACTATAAAAAAAATGCCGGGAATAGACGAGGTTTGGAAAAAAGACGGGATGTTCCAAAAGATGGGACCCAGGGCCCCAAAGGTTTACAATTGGAAGTTGAAGACTCAGATGAAGCAAAAAGGGTGTTAGGAAGTAATTTTTTTTTGTCCTAGAGTAGTCCGGCCATGGGAAAAGCCTTTGAAAAGTGATGTGGGGGAGGCAGGGAAACCTTTCAAGGTTTTTTAAAGGCCCAAGGGATGATTTGACCCATGGGGCCCGGGAAAAAAGGACCTTTAGCAATCAGCGAAGAGGGGGGGGCCTGGAGCTTGACCCGAAACCCCCGCAAAACCAAAAAATAGGGGAGACACAACACCCACACACACCCACACCAAACCCAAAATAAACCCCACACACACACACAACAACACACAACCCCCCACACACACACACACAACACACACCACACACACAACACACCACACCACACACACGCCCCCCCACAAAACCCACCACACCAAAACCCACACACAGCACACACAACCCCCCAACACACCCACACCACACCCACACACACACCACACACCCACACACCCCACACACCAAACACTCCACACACACCCCCCACCCCACACCACACACACACCACACACACACCCACACACACCCACACAAAACCACACACAACCCACACCCCCACACACACACCACACACACCTTCCACACACACCACACACACACCACACACCCCACCCCCAAAAAACTCACCCCAATACAAACAACCAAACACACCAAACACAAAACAACACACACGCATGCACGATATACAACAAACCCCAGAAAGTGAAGTATTTGGGGGCGGGAAAATATAAAATGGTTTTAAGGCAGGTTTTATAAAGAAAATGGAGCCCGGGAGGAGAGGACCTAGTAGGGAAACAGTGAAGAGGCGGGCCAAGGGGGCTATGACTCGAACCCCCTGCAACCCCAAATAGGGGGGTACACACAAACACACCCCACACACACACACCACACACACACACACACAACACCCACACACACACATACCCACCACAAAAAAACACACAAATAAACTTTTTGACCAGTTTCACTGAGTTTAATGGAAAGCAAAGTCCCTGGAGGGAAAAATTTTCAGGAAAGAAATGGGGGAAACACCTAAACGGGGAAAAAAAGTATAAAAAAACAACCATAAAGGGTCATGGGAAGGGAAATCCGGTCCCCCAAACCTTTGGAGTTTTATGGTAAAGTAAAAAAGGAAAAAAACACAGGCAGAAGGGGGGGTTTTTATTGGGATTTCTTGGGCAGTAAGAAGGGCCTTTGACACAGTTCCTTTATTAAAAAAAATTAGTGGGAAAGCTAGAGGGGTCAAGAATACCTGACAGGGGGGTAACAACGAGTCATGGGACGTGATGAGGTATCAAAGTGAGCACCGTGACGAGCGGGATCCCAAAGGGGTGGGGTCTTAGGGCCACACACACAAAACACACACACACACACACCCCAACACACACACACACACACCACACACACACACACACATAAAACATATACATACACACACATTCATACACAGTGATCATAAGTTTTCACAGAGTGACCTTAGCTACACACTTTCCTTCACACAGAGATGTTATTGGTAAGTAACGTTCCTACACACAGCATCTTTGGTAAGATAAGTTCCTACTCACAGCAACTTTGGTAAGGTAAGTTCCTACTCACAGTAACTTTGGTAAGATACGTTTCTACTCAGAGCGACTTTGGTAAGATACGTTCCTACTCACAGCAACTTTGGTAAGTTAAGTTCCTACATACAACAACACTGATAAGATAAGTTCCTACTCATAGCAACTTTGGTAAGATAAGTTCCTATTCACAACAACCTTCGTAAGATACGTTCCTACTCACAGCAATCTTCGTAAGATACGTTGCTACTCACAACAGCCTGGGTATAATACATTCCAAAAGACACAAGTACCTTGGTAAACCAACCTTCTTAATTAATGCTAGTAGAGATGTGGTTAATAAAGACAAAGTGAGATAAAGAGAGAGAGAGATAGAGCTCGTTAAGTAGGGTCAAGATATAAGGCTCGTCGAGGAGGGTCCAAGAGACAGACATCTCTTCAAAGCAGGCATAGGAGATAGGGAACACACATGCGAGTACATTACCTTTTCGAATTCACAGAATTCGAGTTGTCTTCTGAGGGTCTCGAGGTAGTTGAGAGCGTTGATGTAGTTGAGAGCATAGCGGTGGTAGGCTTGACACAGCATGGTCGCCTTGCTACCCTGTCTTCCCACAAGCAGACAAAAACAGAAGAGGGAAAGAGGAGAGAGAGAGAGATATGAAAAGGGGAGGGGGTGAAGTGAGGATGATGGGAAGCACAAGAAAAGGGTGGAGGGGAGATATGAAAAAGATGAGGGGAAGATGAGGGATGATAAAACAAGGGAAAGGTGATAAATAAGGATTGAGAGAGGGTAATAAACAAGGGGAAGCAGAGAGAGAAAGAGAGAGAGAGAAGAGAGAGAGAGAGAGAGAGAGAGAGAGAGAAGAGAGAGAGAGAGAGAGAGAGAGAGAGAGAGAGAGAGAGAGAGAGAGAGAGAGAGAGAGAGAGAGAGAGAGAGAAAGAAAGAGATGATAGATCCAACCAGGTGTGAGGGGAGAACAGAAAAAAAATATTTGTTAACAATAATAGACATAAATTTTGTTTCTTACAATATATTCTGCAAACCTTAAACATAAACTGCAAATATATACGTTCAAAGGGATGGGAAATTCTAGCACTAGGTCTCTCATATTTCCATTCTTCGTCAGGAACTATACAGTGTTGCAACTGGTATGATGAGGGGAAAAATTCTCTCAGAGGTAAGAAAACATGTCTGGCACATGGCCTGTCCTTTGAGAGGTTCAGTGCCAGATACACCCTCCTCCCTCACCTTCCTCCCAAGAGGGGCTTAGGATACACTTCAAGATTTATTATAGAAAGCAGTGCAGAATGGAATAAAAACTTAAGAGACCGCCCAATAACCACGTCAGATCATCAGCTATAAGTTTAGTGCCATTATTTAATCATATTTATTAGACAGCTCTGTCACTATTACTTTAGTTTTGTGCGGTACCTTGTAGTAACTTAAGAAAAGAACATTAACGACTGTTACTCATTCTCACCTTCATGATATTCCTGATGATTTTTAATATTCGTGAATATTTCCTCTCTCATATCTCTCAACACTGCATCACTATAAAAGGTTATCAATATGGGTATACAGATTCACAAGTATTTGAGTTTCCTTGAGTATTTCTTTGCCTTCAAAGGCGGTTGCTTGACGAGGCGAAGATGTTGTTTGTCTGAAGAATTGGACATCTCAGTCTTCTTCCTCCAACTGAACCTAATTACCCCCACTTCTCCCTTCCTTACCCTATCAATCCCATTCCTGTGCTTTCCCAATCTCTCCCCTTGGCTTCCTTTCCTGCTTTTGGCCTTTGGAATGTTTGCCTCTGATATTCTAGCTCCTAGGTTGGGGAAAGGGTGTCGTTGTTCGTCCCATTCCGTTGAGGTCCATGTGGTGGTGGTGTTTGCCGTGGAATCTGGATCATCTGGAAATGTCCCAATCCACCTCTGGATTTCTGGGGGGTGGCTTAGGGTTTCCTTTGGATAACAGGTGCATCTTTGTAGGCTGCCTGTCGGTTCTGGGAGGTAGTGGCCGTAGGAGGTATGCCTTGTGGTGGGTTTCCGGCTGCCCTCTCTTTTGTCCACGGAGGTGACTCGGTGGATGAGGTTGCTATCTTGGATTGTTGGTTTACCAGTATGAAAGGTAGGGAGTGGCATGGGTTCTTCACCACATCTGCATTGTTGACCGCTCTGAGGGCCCACTTGGGCTTGGGGATATACGATCCCTTTCATTCTTCCTGGGATCTCTCTCTGCACATTCCCCCTTTTTTAAAATAAACAAATAAAAATAAAGGGGGAAACTTATCGAGACCCATGACCTGCCTCCTCCTAGACCCTTTCCAGCGGCACACCCCTACAGACCCTGCAGACCTTCGGACCATTCTTGGGACCTCTTTTCCAACTCGGTACCTTCTCTGGGTAGTGTTTCCCTCCTATGGTTCCCCAGTTCCGACAGACTATTTAGACACTTCTGACCTCTGCACAGCTTTGACGATCCCGGCTTCTCCACACACAGTGCATCAATTTTCAGATCGTACACACGACTCAGGATGGCCTGCCTTTAACCTTCTGTCCAAAAGACCTGAAATTGTCACTGATTACCCTACCTCAGTTTCCTCTCATGCATCTAAAAAAAGTCCAACAAAATAATTCCCCCCCTTACTCTCTGTTTCAAAGTACTTCCTGGACAAAATTCTTTATGCTCCATCCTACTTCTACTACTGCCAATCTTTCTGACTTCAGCATCAGCAAGGCACTCCTTCACCATGTTGGACAGAACATTTCCTTCCATGTTCTTAAGAGTGGAACCTGCATTGCTACAGTTCAAAATTCAGAGCAGGCCCATAATCTCTCACTTTTTGACATTGGTGACAACACGGCCTGGTCACAGACCGGGTCGCGGGGGCGTTGACCCCCGGAACTCTCTCCAGGTAAACTCCAGGTAAACACTAGTTATAATTCTCAAGCACATCTTCCTTAATACTTGCTGTGGATCTACTATCCTTCCACATACGATCATACAACTCGACTTTCTCTGGATTGTAATGAAGACTTTCTGAAGTAACTCGAGCTCCAGAATCTCCCGATCATTAAAGTTGATACATACTCCCTCTCCGCAGATGAAGGCGTTATCCTTGCAATATAGCGATGATAACTTTCGATAGCCGTGAACATCCACCATCTATTTACCTAGCAAGACAAAGCCTACAAGTGAGGGAGGTGATCCCTACCCCGCAAGAATGTAGAAAATGCTGGCGCTTCGGCAACTCGGCAAAATATTGCAGGTCAGTTGCAAAGTGCCTTGTCTGTGGTGTAGCTGACCATAGCAGTCCATCCTGCAGCCACCCTCCACTTGTCGTAACTGCAAAGAGGCGCACTCTACCTATTCTCGCCGTTGTCCAATTTTCTTAAGAGGAAGGGAGATCTATTGTCTTAACGAGAATGAGGGCTTCTCTTGCATCATGGCAGTTTCCCATCTCACCTCCAAGGACTATTTCCATGGCTTTTTAATTCCAGGGTCGCTAGACGGCCCCAACCTTGGTGATGCCTGCTTCCACAGTTGCCTCTGTGTCCCTTTCTCTTTTACGGTCCTGGGCTCTGAGGTTCCAACCTCATCATCTCTTACTGTCCCCACTTCCTCACCTTCCCACTCCCATGTTTCAACATCTCAGCGCCCTCTCCTAACTAAATTGATGCCATATATCCCTTCTTCTCTAGAGTCATCTATGTCTAAATCTCCTTCAACCCCCAAACTACATGGCATTCCCAAACGTTCTTCTTTCCTTATCTCCGCGTCTAGGTCTTTACAGAGATGCATCTGATATTGTTGTGGGGGCTCATCCAACCCCTAGTATAGTTGTTCCATCGCCTGTCCCTCCAGAAATTTTTGCCTACCAAGACACCTCTACCCTTTCTTTTGTGTCTTTCGTTATCTCTCCACTTTTTACCCAGACAACATCTTCTCCTGCCACCATGCTCTCTCCGTGTTCTTTCTCATCAGAAACTATTGAAGCCATCTCTGCATTTATCGTATTTATCGAGGAGACAACAACTATGTTGGACACCAGTCCACCTTCTGCCATTTCACATTCTCACTTCTACGCCCTTCTTCACACTACCTTTCTTCACGCCATCTTTACTATTTCCCAATGCCTCCCCATGTTGGCCCTCCTGGTCCAAAGACAACTGCCAAATGTTACTGTTACACTCTTATTAGCTGATCATGGTTTATTTACAGTGCAGTAATTGGGGAGAGCTTCAGGCATTGTTCCTCCAGTTTTTCCCTGTGTCTGCAAGAACCAAAATTGCACTCTGCTGTTATCCGTCCAGTCTCGGGCTATATATTATTACATTCATCAGATTTTTTCCTGATGGGACTTTTAATGAAAGCGCACTTCTCGCACACCACAGTATACCACATTCACAGGTCCTTGTCCATATTTCACTACATTACACTGCAGGCAGCATCTACTTGGACACGTGGTATACAATCTGCTCTTTATATCTTTCTCCATCCCGGCCATTATCTATTCCTGTTGTGGAATCTCTGATTTCTTCCCTACCTCCTTCTATCTGCTTATTAGATTTTAATGCTCATCATTTCCTATGGGGAGGGTCTCACTATGACTCTCATGGCGATCAGTTCGTCTCATCTCACTACTTTTCCCCTCCATATTTTTAAATACAGGTCCTACCATTCATTTCTATCCTTGCACTCTTTCTTGCATATATCTCTCAATTTGCTCCTCCTCAACTGCACTCAACTATATCTGGTCTTTGCTCCCTGATTTACATGACAGCGATCATTTTCTTATCCTGCATCTCATATGAATTTTCGACCTCCTCGTAGCTCACGTTAGCAGTCTGAACAGGCAAATTGGGCTCTTTACACGCGTCAAACTGTTTTTAGTGAAGAACCATCTCTTTCGTCTTCAACTGTTGGGCCATTGCAACTATTTTTGTCCTCGGTTTTATCAGCAACCTTGAATACAATCTCTCAAACCTCGAGTAGACACCCTCATAAATGCGTGCCTTGGTGGTCTCCTACTTCTGCTTGTGCAGTGCATTTCAAATGTGCTGCATGGAACAGATATCGTTACAATAGGACCACAGAGAGACTCCTCGATTTTAAGCGGGCGAGGGTGGTTGCCCGACGTGTCATCCGTGAAGCACAACACACTTGTTGGTGGGACTGCGTTTTTACCGTTACTTCGGCTTTTTCTATGAGTGCAGTTTGGAAAAAATAGGGAAATTGAGTGGCAAGTACTCTCCAGACCCGTTTAGTAAATAGACGCTTGGCGTGGTATTTAGAGACACACAATAGTCTTTCCACTCGCCAATTTGGCTTCCGTAAGGGCACTATTGATCCCTTACTCCGTTTAGATACCTATGTTCGTAATACAGTGGACCCTTGAATTTGCTCCAGAGAGTCTGCTGAAATTCAAAATTCACGATTTTCAAAATCATTTTCCCCATAAGAAATAATGTCAATCAAATTAATCCGTTCCAGACACCCAAAAGTATTAAAAAATATATTTTTTAAATTCAGCGTACATTTATCTACACAGAAAACAATGATACATGAAGAATAAAACAATAATAACTTGACACTTACCT